AAATTAATGTTTTAAAAAATTTAGATTTCAGTAATTCCTTCTCTGGCTTCAGATCTATGTTATTAATTATTTATTAGAAATATAACTGTGATCTCGTAGAGAATAAGTTTGAAAATAAATCTTTCAGTGTACATGTATAGAAGCAAGCTCAAACAATTAATTTGTAATAAGAATTTCCATGTAATTAGGCTGTTAAGTCTGTGAGGAAAATAAAATAAAAATTATGAAATAAATTAATGGATGTAGCCATTACTATGTGGTACGAGATCATCATGAAAAATGAGAATTTAAACTTCCTACGAATAGAAGATAAGAAGTTTTGATTCTCATTTTTTTAAATAATGAAATGTTTATGTCTTTCAAAGAATACTTTTGGATATATTTTGATAATTCAGAAATATTTTGACTTCAGGCGCTTTCGCTCGATATTGGCTCCGACTTCTGTGGGACACTGCAATCTTCCATCTTATAATAAAAAAACGGGGCCGTGTTCCGGCCAGCGACAGTTTTGTCGTCAAAAGAATCGCGGGACCTGGCTTGGTGTCTGATTACTATTTCCAAATCAGCCCAGAACAAGCTCTGGCAGCTTTTGAGGCCAAGATGGAGCTGGACGAACTGGCCGCTTACCAAACAGTTATCGAAAATACCATCTTGCAACCTCAGAAAGACTTTAGCCATTTTGTTGAAGCATGTTTTGGCAGCTTCTCGGCTCAACTCGCTAAAAATGGACCATACAAATGTTTGGAAAAGGAAGCTCAAGATCTGATGACGATTCTGCATGAGAAACTCGAGAGGAGGCGTAGGGATTTGCAAACGGGCCTCAATGTGACTGTGAAGAGTAAAGTCAAGCTATGCACGCCAGAGTTGAAAGTGGGTATATCTATACTTCTTTTCAGGTTCACAAATATTTTATTATTCCAACCAGTTTACAATGATTGGGAGAGCTTTTCTTTTTCATAAAATGTATAATCAAGTTATACAATTTATTCACGGTAAATCCCATAGTTTATTAGTTGTGCAAACAGTTATTTGTGTAGTTTAAATCTGGTAAGATGTGTTTTTCCAGGATCTTACCCTTCAACGTGCGATTCCCAGTATCAAATAATTTAAACTGTAGAAAAAGTAAACCGTCAAATGATAGAAATAGGTCATCAATGGCAAAAACTCGATCTGTTTTTTGGAATATACAACTGCAAAATGATATTGTTTGAGAAAAAAGGCACAAAGAGTTTTTCTCTAAGTCAAAATGGCAAAAAACAATCAATCTGGAACAGAAGTCGTTATTATGACTCTTATTACCATTCACCTTTGTGTCAAGGAAACTTGTAGTATGACGCTTGTGCAATTCATTGGTCAAAGAATTCTTTTATTTTCTTGTTAAAATTGTTTATAGTAAATTGTATATTCAACTAGTCCAATATGATTTATTAAGATGGATTTTTATACCGGGTCTCGTAAAACTGTGGTGATGAAAATCTGTTGAACCATAATGACTTTGCCAAATATAGCTTCAATGAATTTCTCTTGTTGATTACTTACAAGTTATGTTCATTGGCAACAATTCCAAAATAATTAATTTTCAGGTCGCTATCCAGCAAGGTGCTATGATGCTAGAACGATTCTATCCAACCCACATCTTCCCGAAATTAACTTGTTCAGAAGACCAGTTTTGGGACAGTAAGGCTCTCAGCCCCGGTGATTGGGCCGGTCTAGCAGGACTTTTGTATTCAGAACTCTTCAGTTTAGATATTCTGACACCCTTGGATCATACTGATACCAGTTTCCGTCTCGATACTCACCCTCAAGCTGACTTGTCTCGATATACGGACATGGTGCAGTGTGCGCAATTAGGTGGGCCTTCATTTTTGTCTAGTTTGTAGTCTGTTTGATATTGATAGAGAGAAAATAATAATAATAATGTTACCATATTTACTTGGGGTTCGTTTTTAAAACAACAACACTAATAATACTTAGACAACTTTTATTTACTTGATACACAATTGCTGCACTGATTATAATTCACTTTGAATACTCGCTTGCTTGAGNTGACGAGTTCATCACGTGAGGTAGGTCGTTGATATATATTAGAAACAGAAGTGGCCCCAATATTGACCCTTGTGGCACTCCTCTTAATATTTTTCTTTTTTCACTTTTGGTATTTCCTAGATCAACAATTTGATATCTTTCGTTAAGGTATGACTTCATCATGTCTAGGCAGACACCTCTCACTCCGTAGAAATCTAGTTTGGCCAATAAACTCGAGTGATTTACAGAATCGAATGATGAAGTAAGGTCTGTAAAAACGCTCACATGTTTTTCTTGGTTATCAAAGGCGTCTTTTATACTATTTGTGAGAAAGTGTATTGCATAAGACGTGGATTTTCCTTTCCGAAATCCAAATTGATGGATATCTAAATATGTTACTAGTTGTTCTTAAATTATGTGTTCGGCAGATTGGCAGTATTGCTATCTGTCGAACATTTTTTGGTTCGGATGTAACGCCTTTTTTATGAATTGGCAGGATTCTACCTATTTTTAATTGCTAAGGGAAGTAGCCTTCACTTAGACAAGTATTGATAATATCTGTTAACGGTTGAGTTATGCATTCAATGGCACTCTTTATGACTAACACATTCACACCGTTTATATCTTCAGTTTTTTTATTTTTCAACTTAGTTATGATTATTCTCACCTCATCTGTCGTTACAGGCCTAAAAAACATCCACTAACTATTCATTTAAAATGCTTGTGAAGTGGAATAAAATTGATGTTTCTTCAACATTTATTTTCTTTATTTGCTATATTTTACATGTGGTTTGAAGTGCTTTCATAATTTCTTATGTCTCCCTTGCCTGATTATTTTATTCAACAGGTGTTGGTGGGCCCGATTTATTAGGAAACGTCTATACTCCTAGAGGCAATATACAAGTTCATTCACCATATCTGGATGTATCTGCATTCAACCCAAAATCAAAATTAACTGCCACAGGAAAGAAAGCAGACAAAGCAGAGTAATTATTTCTTTACGTGAATGCATTATAATTATAATCAGACTTGTTTCAATATCATTCTATCGATGTTATTGTGTTTACAGAGAAATGTCTGCAGCTATGGGTTCGTTGAAACCGAATGCAAAGACTACTCTGTGGATGCCATGGAAAAAACATAGCCGTCCTTATTCGCCGGATAAAATGGTGATACCTCTTCCGATTCCGCACCCTGCTCATATTGCGGTAACAATTTACAATAGAGATTCAGATGATCCTATCGCTTTAGAGTCTGACATATGTCAGAGTATATTGCGAGGTATAGAGGAAAGTCATGTGTCTCCAGACGATAGTGGTAAGTTGATTCTTTATTCATTTTATCCAAATTAGCATGCCATACTTCTGATAATTTCGAGTTTTGGTATTTTCTGGAGGTTTCTCTCTCCAATAACGGTAAAAAATTAATAATTATAAGGTACTCAGTTCTGTACTTCAAATTGGCATGAGGATAACCAAAATATGAAATTCAGTCACGACTCACATGTGGAATCTTATTATTATTCATTTATTCATTTATCCTGAATATATACAGACAGAGTCCAATTACATATACACAGTACCTAAACTACACTAAACCTAACACATATATAGATAAAAAGATACAATTGACAATAAAATTATTATAAATATAAAATCCCTATAATGAAATATATGAAATCATTGCAAATAGGTGTTAAAAAATATAGGAAATAGATANATACACACATATACACATACATAGACCCATGTACACACATATAATAATTTTATAAAATGTTTGATTTCTTAATACAGTTAATATGTACATACATATATAGTCATACATACACACCTACCTTTAAAACTATTTAGTGAGAGACATAGATACGACATATTTTGTACTGCTGTCACAACTATTCAAAATTTTGTTCAAAAAATTCCCTCAAATCATAAAACGGTCTTGTTATTAAAAATTTTTTTACAGCCCTTCTGAATTTCGGAGTGCTATGAATATTTTTAATTTGCTTCGGTAGATGGTTGAACATTTTCGTACCATTGTAAACAATTGAATTTTGGTATTGGGTGGTTCTGGGGATTAATAAAGGTATATATTGGCCATTTGCCCTAATATTATGTGCAGTGTCAGATTTTAATAAATGTAATTTATGCTTTTGAACTAAACTAGTTGATTCTAACACGAAGATTGATGTTAGCGTGAGTATCCTCTGAGGTATAAATAAGGGTTTACATGAAGTTTGATGGTTAACATGGCATATGTATCTCAGTACTCTCTTTTGTAGATTAAAGATCATTGAGAACAAAGCTTGTGAGCAGGCTCCCCAAAATGCTATCCCATTTTTGATGTGAGATTCCAGAAGAGCAAAGTAGGCTTTTCTAGCAATAAGACGACTGATGTCATTTTGAATAACTCTCATAGCATAACACCCAGATGACAATTTCTTTTGCCATTGCCATAACATTCTCATCAAACTTTAAATTATGGATTAGTACAATACCTAAGAATCTATAATTGTCAGATTTCATGAGTTTATCATTATCTAGTTGTATTTTGTCAATGTCCCATTTAAATGATAACACTTTAGTTTTCTTAGAGTTGAAGACCATTTGATTGGCATCGCAGCACCTATTTATTTCAGTTAGATCTAAAGAGATCAATTGGCTGAGAGTGTGCCATTTTATCTTCAGTGTGCCATTCTATAGATGTATCACCTGAAAATAAAGTCAATCTACCACTAATATTCAAGTTAGTGAAATCATTTACATATAACAAAAATAATATGGGCCCCAAGACAGTGCCTTGTGGAATTTACATATTACAATTATCCCTGAAGCTTCGACATAGCATAACAACAAATTACAGTTTACAATTGACGAAAATTCACAAATGATTATTCAGAAATTTGTTTGTTCATAAAGGAATTATAAATTTACTTTTCATCGAATCAATAGACAAACACTTTTATGTTATTAACCTATATTGGATTGACTGTTTTCAGGAATAGGGAGATTCAAGGGAGGTGCTGACTCTTTTGGAACAGTTAGTTCTAGTTCAGACACTTTGGACACTCCCCCAATGGAAGAGTCGACGCGGAATTCTTCGGAGGGGGTGTACCGTTGGACCCTGAGTAATTGGGGCCAAAGGAAACGTAACAATTCAGGTAGCGTTCGAGTGGATCTAGCCAGTCCCGAAGACGTCACTTTGGACAGTGATAGCACTAGAGTGGTTTTTTGTACGTACGGAACGACAGTATGATAAGTGATTGTGATTTTTTTGGTTCGTATTCTTAAGTCCGAGTTGCTCTCCCAAATAGCTTTAACGATGTAGATCTGATAAGTGATCATTTTTATAGCTCGTAACTAGTATTATTTTTTTTGCCAAAGAATAAGTTCAAAACTTTTGTTATTTTTGTATAAGAGCCATACCACGTTTTTTTAGCGATATTAGAACAATGTTTTGAAAAAATAAAACAATTTTGATCTCAACTAAATTCACAAAGTCCAAATTTTGTTTGTTAGAAATCTATAGTATTTAATTTTGATTTATGAATAATCAATTCATAGTTGAAGTTACCAAAATTTGTAACAGTAAAAAATATAACGATAATAGTAATTTCTCTAAATGGGTGCATTCATGGGTTTTTCGTTATAAATTTTATTTAATCGTGCAGACCATTATTTGCCAATCTGAAAATACTTCCTCTCTCTTGTCCGTATATTCTAGAAATATTTTGTTACATTAATATTACTGTAGTTTATCTCAAAGCCAAGCCGTTATTTTAACACCTCGACGCGTGTTTCGTTCACCAAGTGATCATCAGTTCAATGTTCCTCTTGAAGATGATCTGATCATCAGTTTAATCTTCCGTTTGAAGATGATCACTTGTGAATACGAGATAGATCGGAGACATCTTACTTGAATTAAATATGTATTTTGAAGTTCGAACATTTATAACAATATCCTGTAAGACTTCACAGTACATAAAATGTTTCGATAATAATTATAATAATAAACGATTTTATTGGGAGATTCAAACTAAAATAACAATAGCGCCAGAGAAAATGACCTACCGAAAGGCACAGTTAGCACCCAAAGAGGGGTGGGACAAGAGCTTGCTTCCACTTAACCAACCGAACAAAATTTTTACAGAGTGTGACATCTTAACCTATTACAAGTAAACCAACGAATTATCAAAGCATGCTTTATTGTCTGAAGAATAGAATTCTTATTGACAAAGCTTCTAAATGTAATAGTACATAAATCGTGACTGCTTAAAATGATCAGGAGGTCATGATAATTAAATGAAATTAAAATTATGCAAACCAATATGGATTGTCGGATGTTAAAAGTGGATGTACTTAATGTATATATACAGTCATGTTACTATAAAATATTTTCACAACAATACAGTAGAATAGATATAAAAACAGTTTTCCCTAATTTATTCTATATTAATTGGTTATAAATACAAAACAGGAAAGAATTGTCAGATGATAAAAACATTAAAATAATATATATACATATATACACATATACATATATATACGCATATATACACACATATATACACACACACTTTTTACTTACCTCCTTCATCCACTCGACTCTTGAACTATTTTCAAACATGAAATTAATCAAAATGACCAACGATCAAGACTGAGTGATGCACGATTACAAAGCTGCGTACGTGAACCTACCTCATTAATTCCGGTTGATATTTATCAGTTTGTATCGAAGAAACAGTGTTTGTTTTTATTTTGCATTAAAAATTGTATGTAAAATCTTTACTTTTTTATATATTTTTTTTCTAATGTTTATTATAAAGTTTTGTAAATTATCAATAAGTGTTATTTTATGTGCGGTCCGCCAAAAAAAGGCGGTAAAAACAGAATCTCTGAGAGAACTCGAGTACATACCAAAAAGTGCATATATCAGAACTACTTCAAGGATTGGAAACAATGATGACACAATTGTATTATATC